TTACTAGAGATGTTATTGAATAAACAATAGCAAAACCATCACTATTTTCTATATATAAATCACGCATTACTGTAAAGTTTTCCTATGAAAAATTTCTGTTTTTTTTTTTCAAAATGAAACTTTGTTTAATAACAAACCATTCCAGCTGTATCAAGAATTTCGACAATAAATTGTTTTCCATCAATTTCAACAATCTAAATAATATATCAATATTTTTGTTTTTCGTTTAATTTTCAATAAAAATACTTTTTTAAAAACATCCTTAATAGTTGGATCATATTTACCAATAAAAATACCTTGTACAAATTGTGTTGCCTAAAATGATAGAGTTTAATTTTATGTTTAATATTGATTTTTATTTACAAGAGAAGTTTTTCCAACAGCACCTTCACCAAGAACACATAGTTTATATTCTCGATTTAAACTATGATTCGAAGCTAATTTTAAATGTTCCATAGAATTAATTGAAATGAGATTTGATTTTCAATTGTCTAGAACTTCATATAAAGTTTAAAGGAATAAGTATTTACTTTTTGATAAGACTTATTTTGTTTTCGTCTTTTTAAATCTGTACATTTTTTCTTTATTGATTCAATAGAGTAATGTTTTCAGATTACTTACATTTGATATGCAGATTTATTCGATGAAAGAATCATAGTATTTATCAATTTTTTTCTAAGTAAATTGTATAAATTATTGATATTGTTGTTAAAAGCTACTAATTTGTTCTATCTCAAATAAGTCTCGTATAGATACAAAAATTTGTTCAGTTAGCTGCATAGAAAGAAACATTTTTATCAAATTATTAAATTCTTTATTGAAATAAATCGAAATAAAAAAGACATGAGACAAATATCAATAAAAATAATATGAAGATTTTCTATTCTTCTGATTGTATTGATGAAATTTGTGAAATTGAAACTGTATCATGTTTTGCGCGCATTGTTTTGAAATTGTTCACTATCTTAAGTGCATGTCGATTTGCAACATGATGATAACGTTCTAAATGAAATTTTAATCTATCAAATTGAATAAATCGATATGCACATGGTATCTTCTTTAAAGATTTTCGACAACATTCTGATGACGGTCCATTAATAAAAGGACATGGTACTTTCCAAAATGGATCAATTATACTTTCATTTTCATGAAATAATTTTGTTTTCCTAGGATCTTGATTATCAGCAATAGCTCGTAATAAACGTTTGATATAAACGTCTTCTAATTTATGCTTGTTTCGGAAATGTTCATATAATCGAATTGGATGATTTTGTTCATATTCACAAAATTTAATAGAATGGTTTTCTTCACTAAGGCCATATGCTCCATTAAATGTTAATGGACATTCACTAACAATCATTCTGCATGGCTTTTTTTTAATCTTCTTTTGTTTTTTATTGACATATTCATCCTGAAAAGAAAAGCATGATATAACATCTCAAACACAATGCTGAAATTATATGATAGAAAATAAGAACTAATTTAGACATGTACGCAACGGACAAACAAACCGATTTAACAGTAGGAGGAACGATGAAATACCATATTCATATAAATTGAATTCATGTAGCATTTAACTGAAATGTTAGATTTTTTCATTTACTACGTAGACGAAAAGATTTTAATTTAGAAAATTCATCTCTAATTTATATGTGTATTATCTGGAAGAGAAAAACCTCGAGATACAGATACTTTACATATTGGACAAACAATGAACAGTAATGGTACGTTGTTTTTGGTATTAGAAAAAAATTTTAAAAAAGACTTATTCTCATTGAAAATGTCATAAAAATCGGTAGTAATTCCACATTAAGCCTTTCTAAAATCAATTTATATGAAAACAAAGTAAAAAATTCGAAATCAAGATGAAAGATGCATCAAAAACTATTTTTCGCCAAAACTTTACTTGTGTATATATATATATTCTTTCCATCATCTATTTTAAAAACTTTCATCGGAACCTACCTGTCAGTTAAAATTTCAACAGGAAGATAGTTTCTGGTACATATTTAAATGTTGCCGATTTCGAATATAAAGGTTATACATTATACTAATTGACTTTCAATAATCAAAACTTCATAAAACTAGCAATTTTGTAAGGTTTTCTATGAACGAGCTAAATGGTAGTATCCATTTCTTTAGCCAAAAATCATTAATTTTATGATTCTTTACTAGAGTAATCTGAAGAATTTTGAATAAAATCTCTTGTCTTTACCTACCGAAAATTGTCATAGGGCAATCTTGTTGTACCACTCTATCCTTTGGGCAAATCAGATTTGAATCTTTAAGTGGAATATAAGTGTTTATTACAAGATCTCAAGTCTTGATAAAATATTTGTCATTGCTTTCAAACTTCTCATTCATCTTTTATTGATTACATTTCGTAAATATATCATTTTATTTGGAAGTCCTGTTTTAGTTTCGTTGTAATTGAAAATAACGAATGAATGTAAATAAAATCTCTTTTTTTGTTTACAATATATATTTAAAAAAGGTTTTTCTTATATATCCTTTTAAAATAAAAGAAAAACAAATATTAAGGAAACTATTTTAGATAGTCTATTATTTATTTTTTACCAAGTAGTTGACAAAGAAGATATGATAGACTATGGATACAAACCAACTATAGAAAACTAATTTTTGCATATTGCATTTTAAATGAGATGTCGTTTCTTCAATAATATAAAACGTCGAAGTGATATCAACAATTAAATTCTTTTCTTATACTACATATTTGCGCCTTGATTATTACAAGAAATATCTTAAATTTTTTGAACTAAAGATAAAAAATATTTTGTTCAGCAATAAGAGCTTGTCTAACTGAAATACTAAAAATAATGTTTTAAAATTTAAACATAACTGCTGATTCGTTTTTATTTTCGTTTAGGTTTTTTAGCATTCATGAACTTCTAGACTAAGTAAATCGTATGAAATGAAAACTTAAGATATCTGTTATAAGAAAAATCTTCGGTTTTAATCAGTTTCTACTCTCAAATAAACTCAAATTCAATAAAAACTATGTATATTTGAATCGATTTTTTTATGAGGAAAATATAACAAACGTCAAGTTTTTTGTATATTATTCTTTTTTTGTGAAGCAATACAAAGATTTTAGCCCCATCCTCTTGGTAAGACTGTACGAATAATAAAATTTCTTTGTGCCCTACAATATTCTCTGTTGTCCATAGAATATATCGATCTTTTCCCAAATTTTAAGCTATTCCGTCGGCGATTATAAAAAGATTCAAAATAAAGTCGAAATTTTTCTGCTATTGATTGAAGAACTGTAAAAAAAATAATAGTTAAATAATATTTTAATATTTAAAAACTAATGTTTTATGTAAAATACAGTTCGTAGATACTTGCAATTAGAATCTGGTATATAAAAAAATGTGCTAATTTAATTTTTCAGTGAGGATAATATTTTCATGTACTAAAACCAAAAAGAAATCAGATTGTTAAACACAATTTTGTAGAACATTTCTTTCTTAATCGACTATCGCATCACTTGTGTTTATTGTTTATTTAGTTATGCTATTAAGAATGTTTATTTTCTTTGTCGGTTAACAATATATACGAAGAACAAATATCTATTGGGTTCACTGTTGAGTATATTAGAATGAGAGAAATATTGAATTGTAACTTATACTAATATGATTAATCAGTAATTAGATGTAATATAGCAATATTTGACATATGACGTATTTCAATTAAATAAATTGATTTTATTGATATTCATATGAATATAATTATTTTTACCTCGATGGATTTCGTTGTTTCACTGAAAAATGTAAATATGTAGTGTACCTTAAATTTCTTCTAATAAAAAAGAAACTTACTTAAATAAGATCGTATCCATCAAATTTGGTATAACATTTGTTGAAGATTCATGATCTTAAATAGATTATGTTTATTTTTTTAAAGTTATATCTTTTGACGTTCGTAAATCTTCTACTAATTCTAAACATATTTTAAAAGCTTTCTCTTCTATGTTATGAAGAAACTATATGAACTAATCTTTACCAATCGAAATTATATTAAGTCTATAATAAAAATTTGCTAAGAGTAGACAAAACAAAGTTTATAAAAGATTATGTTTATAAATTTTATTATGATCATATAAGTAAATTTTCTAATTGTCTTTTAGTATTCATTACAATTAAAATTCGAGATAAGCGTCTACAATAATAATTTTTTAATAAATTCTAGATTGATTGACATCTATATATTTCCACAAAAACCTACTCCGGGCCGGACGGCCCGTTTCAAGCCTTGATGGCCAACAACTCAAAATCCTTCTTTTTTAAAATCCATTACGGGGATCTTGTAGCGTATGAGATAAAGTGTGAGAAAAGATATTTAACATTTGTATAGTTTAATCATGGAAATAAAAATAATATCTCGTTTTTAGACAATTATAGATATAGCAAACGTAACATAGAAAAAAGCTTGTTAGTAGAAATCATCGTCATCGCGTTATATTAGTTAAACTGGCCACTCTTCAAAATAAAAAAACCTATTTAAAGAATTCTTTTTTTCGTTGAGTACTTCAAAGTGTCTGCTACAAAACTTCTACAGAAGATTTATTGTAATGTAGCGTACACTCGTAACAAAGTAAGGAACAAACACGTCGCCCTAAACTTTTCGACCCTTTTCATCATATGTTTTTGCTTTTTTTTTAAACGAGCTAAAATCTCCAGAGGTTATGGGCAAGGCAAAGATACATCTAACAATGAAAGTAAAAGCTTACTAGATACCCTAATTACTGAGAAAAATTGCTAATATTGTCGCCGAAATGTCATCGCGTTACACTTGAGGAAGTTGAAATATCAAGCGTCTATGATTTGATCAAAATCATAGACGTTGTACAAACAAAATCGAATAAGGTTGCTTATGGAAAAACTACTCTTCAATCTCAATTAATCTTGTACAATTAAACTTGAGTTTACAAAGAGAGAGATTTTATTTTACCATTCAAATTCGTATTTTCCATATCATGCTCGCGAATATAAGAGCATTCTTCCATATTCGCTGATAAATGTTCAACTTTCAATATAATTTCTTCTATAAAAAAATAAAGGCAAAGTAATAAACCAGAAAGAAAAACGATTATCTGATTTAGTCTTTTTTTACCTGAACGATTTGATATAATTGCTTGATTAATTTGTTCGAAACTATTCTGTAATTCTTCGATAGTACTATTAGGTGTATTAAGAAATTGTTTTGCTTGTTCAATCAAGTTTTGTTCATGTTTAATAGTCAATAGTTTTTCTTCAACAATTAAGTTAAGTTTATTTATAACCGTATTTAATTCATTACGAAGATAATTGAATTGTTGTCTATTTTGTTTTGCTATTTCAACGTGTTGAATCAAATGAGTTAAACACACAAGTTGTAAACAACAATGACATTGATATAATTCTTTGATTGTATCGTCACATGTTATATCAGTACATAAATTTTTTTCTGACATTGCTGAAAAATAAAAAATAGAAGAATATGTAGGTTTTTTTATCAATATTCATTAAGATATGATGCTGTGAAATATTTGAAATAATGGATTAATATATTGGATTATTTTATTATTTCTATGAACGAAGAAAGGAAAAGGAAAAAAAACTAAATAATAATATTGGCCGTATAATTTGTACCTTATCAAATCATTTGTTTTATCGAATAAGATTGTTCGATACTTAGATAGTATAGATTCAGATATTTCATCATTGGGGAAAGGAATCGCAAATACATTTTCTTGATAGAAGAATACAAATTTCGCTTTATAACATTGAATGTTGATAATGCTCGTTTATACTATATGCTTTTATAGACTAATGGATAGAACGCAAAAGAAAGAGAAGAGAAGAGCGAAACGAAAAGTGAAGAATGATTGATGAGTAATGTTCGAACAAATATGTTAATATGTATATATAATCGATAAATCAATCATTCTATTCAAATTTTGACTAATTTTTTACATACTTGTCAAAAGTTAACATAGGAAATGAAAGTGGGAAAATACAACAAATGTAAGAAATCTTGAATTTAAGGATGAAAAAATTCATCATATAGAAAAAATTGGATAAGGAATAGAATTATTGAGAATTTTTCATCTTTTATTTTTTTATTCATTTTCTTTGTTATACGGAAGAGTATCGAAGTTGTTGTGTTCTGAATCACTGCAAAAAAATAAAAATAATCAATGAAAAATTCATTACATTTTCACTTGATAGACACTGATCGAATTTCGAATTGAAATTTATATAATAAATTTATGTTTTGCATTTCTGTGAAGACAGCAACATACAAGAACTGAGGAATAGTAACTGCTAATTCGTCGACGGATCATTAGTGCAACTGTAAATGCAATAAGAAAATATTTCATATATTATAGCAAAGCTGTATCGATAAACAGTCTGTGATTGTATAATACAAACGTCTATCATGGTGTGTGATGACGAAAATATTTTACTAAAGATATCTAGCACATGTATGAGAAGTCATTGTTATGAATCTGTCGTTTCTATGAGAGAATGTGTCCTGATGTCTATCAATAAACTTCAGTACTCCTTTTAGATTGTATTTCTCAAATAGATCAGATTGAATGTCTAACAGTTGCACGATTCTTACCAAATCAGAAGTTTTCTCGACTTTTCAGTCGAGATTATATTGACCAGATTCGTATCCAATTCACAGGATCTTGCAAACTATTATTCTTTTGATACTCCGAGAAGTAACAGGTTCATACTCGCTATACTTACATGGTTGATATTGTGAAACACTGTTTTCATGATATTGCTTCTGAATCAAATATCTTTATTTCTTTTTATTTACTGATTATAGAAATAAACACTAGTCGAGTGATTGATAAGATACACTCTTCTTGAATAGCGATTTATTTGATTTTACATGACATGTTGTTGTCACATAGAATAATTAATCTATAAATTATAGCTCGTATTCTAATAAGGAAGATAAAGATAAGGTTTTGAATGTTTTTTCTTATATATTTTCAAGAACTTTGTTTGTTAATTATAACTGAAATAATGCATACGCCACAGTAATTTCAAAGGTGGGTTGTTGTACTCTTAACACATTCCGCCCGATTCAGTTTTATTAGAGAATAGCTTTTGCAGATTCATTTTTATGTGCGTTCGTTGTCCTTTTCACTTTGTACTGGCTAGTTGTTTCGTCTTTTCTGATCGCTATATCACTTGAACAGTTATATCTATACATTACATACTGATTTTTTACCAATATGATATATTAAATTTTTCCCAGTATTTTATCACAGGGTGGGTATGGGTGTGAGTGTGGGTAGTTATACAGGAGTTATCCACATCCATACCCATCTTTATGTGAGTTTCCATCTATGAGTTTTATTTATTTTTACGATGTTCGAAGGGATGCTACAATCATTGTATTTTACTCTAGTTAGGTTGAGTGATGTTCGTTAATTCTATTAATGAGCGTTACAGATGTACGCGAACCTTCAGTTTGTATAATATATAAAGTGTTAATATTGACGATGAGCAAAGGAGCTGGTTTCTCTTTGAATCGTAAAATATTTTGTTAAACCATAAATATGCTTGCACACTTGTTGTTCAAAATGGAACAATCTATTCTTATCCCGCTAACTGTATCATAATCAACATGAAAGGATCGATCAATAATGTGATTCATCGAACTTTCAACAGAAGTGATAATTGAAAGCAACCCCATCAAGAATAGAAATCGTATAATAAACATTATAATGCTTGATCCTATGATTGACAAATAATTATTTATATAGCTCGTATCAGCAAAAACCGTAGATTAGGTTCGGTTAACTAGCAGTGGACTAGTTGTTGAACCAAATTTAAAATAGGAAAAAGCCTATTTGCTATAAATCAACTACTCACATTTGACCAATCTAGTAGAATAAACATAAATAAAAAAAATTATTTAGTTTAATTCTTTGAATGTTAGTTATGACGATTAATAACAAGATCTGATTTGATACATTTTGGTGCATATCGGAGAACACTTATTGAAAAATCAAGCTAAGTCTATGTGCTAATGGCTTATACAGAATCGAAAAAACCTAAAATGATGTGCAATTTCGTCAAAAGTTCAGAGAATGCTTCCAAGGCTATGATCGAACTTTATTTAAATGTAATAAAAAGACTGAATAAAATGTCGACTACCTGATGCATATGCATAGTACATCTCATAAAATATATTAGCAAGCGAAAGCACTATAGGATGAATAAATACATTAATAATGTAGTCAAACAATTAAAAAATAGTATGAACTTCTATTTTACACGCTTAACACAAGATCTGTTAACTCCAAAAGCGATACCTACAACGAGTGAAAATATCTATTAAATCTTATTTATTGTAACTGATAGAATTTCGTCATTATGAATATGTTTGTGATTAAGTGTTTTTGCCAATCTAAATTACTAAGAGTAACGAAACAAAATCATAGATTAACTGCAGATTTTAATTAAAAGTGCTGTTTGCTATCGATTTTCATAAGAGAAGACTATACGAGCGATTGTTTCTTGTACTAACTGTTTTTTGATGATAAGAGGAAAGATTGCAGCAATTCTTTTTTTATTCATATCAAATGCATGAGATGATTGAAAAGAGATACATAAAGAAAAAGACGAATCGAATGTCTTCTTCAAGTTTTTTTTTCATACCAAAATTTCATGACTTTCTAAGTCAAACGGAATGGTTCATATATGGCAGCAAACGGATAAAAGAATTTTTTTAGTAGAACCTCGACAATGCTAAAATGTGGAACTCATATAAGCATTCTAGCATCATTACACCAATTAAAAAATACTTAAAGTCTAAAACCTCTCGTAGACTACAGTGATTTTGAAAAATAATCGATTATTAGAATAAGAAACTCTCTAATTTGTGGATTTTTGCATGAATAATTTTTTTTAATTTTTTTTCCACGAGAATGCCGCACTTTTTTTTATTTGAATTGTCGGGTGTGATTCTTTGCTTCGTCCACAGCCACACCCACACCCACACACCCACACCCACACCCATCCACACCCACCCACCCACACCCACACCCACATCCTTTTTACAGATGAAGTCACACATAGTTAGTTCTTTGAAAAGCAAAAAAGTTGGCAGGTAACGAGAAACTACTTAGGGTTCTCTTAAATGGTATAACGAATGTCGATAGAGAATTTGGGGAAAAACAAGTAGTCGAGAGTGAAAGGAGAGGAACGACGATACGAATGAGATAGAGTGTGAGCAGGTGCGGATGTGGTTGTCGGTTTCGACGAAAGGTAGATTCATTTCCACACGCACACCCACACCCACACCCTTATGTTTCTCTTTCTTTCTTTCTTTTCATCCTGTTTTTTTCTTCGTCTTTGCTTGATTACATCTTATCAAGAGTCTTTTGCCACTTTTCATCTTTTTTTCTAACGTATTTGCAAGCCTAAATGACTGAAAATCAATCCATCACTGTTCATTAGGTTTCAGAAACGGTTTTCTTCCACTTTTCAAGAATCAAGTCTCAATGTCAGATTCCATTAACTTTTTATTTAAATAATGTAACAACAACCTAAGTCTTTTAGGTGGAGTGTGAATGTGAATGTGACTATGGATGGGTGCCCGTATCTCTGCATGGTCGTCCACACCCATACCTCCAGTCTCATCCTCACCATTCTACTTATACTCCCACCCGCACCCTCACCTGTCAAAAGAATTAACCCCAATAAGACCTCTCTTGGACTATCACTTGTTGTCGTCATGGGGTTCGTGCAGACTCCTATTAATAAAAAAAATATAAAAAAAAAAGAATTTCATGCGTCCTATTTCAAAGATCGCGAAGGCCACAAAAGATGCCAGCCACTCTCGATTTAATTAAAACTCACTACTCTAGCTGTAGTTGCTGAGATCGGCGCCTGGTCTCGCTTTCGCTATCTCGCACACAGATCAAAAAGTCCACAAATTATTTTCATAATGCGGGGGTTACTTTAGGTGAACGAAATGTATTATCGAAAATTAGAGAAAATATTTACTATTTCAGGAACTCTTCTTTCTTATATGTGGTTCAATCAACATACACTGATACTCTGTTCTAGAGATCATGGCTACACAATATATGGACTTTGGATGAGTAAAGTTGAAAAAAAAATTCGCGCCCGACTACTAGAAGATGTTTCGCACCTTTAAAATATGATAACAGCAGCCGGTCTCTTATATTTATCATTATTGCCCATACATGAGTTTGTTGCGTTATCTCTTGTTAACAGAGTGCAGTTGAGAGTTTTTGCATGCACTACTTCTTCTTTTAGAGCTAGTCACAATCATCACTACAATGAGCTTTTCTCGTTCGGGCTGCATTATGAATATATTAAAGATAATCTTCTATATAATTTACCGTATTATTAGAGATGTAATTACGAATCTTCAATCATATTGGTTTCGTTCTCCCAAAAATAATACTACCATCCAATGTGAAATTTTAACCATTTTGTATCGTCTAAAGTCAACCGAAGGCGATATACCCAGAGATTGCGATTTTATGTGGCTGCATGAAAAATTTTATGATGCTGAAAAGCTCCTGAAATATAATCCAAATTGGGTACTTTACACGATTTCTGATCGATATGCCTATTTTACACTCTTACCAAAACCAATTGCAGAATATAATGTGAGAAATGCACCTTTTCTTTTCTTGAAACAGTTTACTGATGCTCTCAAATTAGCTCGAATGCCAATAAAGTAAGTTTATGCTAAATTTAAGTAAGCATCTTGAAATTTGCATGCATTGTGATTTATTGTATTTAGAGATTTTTGTACTTTTGCATGCCATTCACTAGGACCTATGAAAGGAAAAGTAATTGTGTTTACCAATTGTCCGAGAAGTGGTTCTACACTGATAACTCAAATGGTTCAGGTTGGCCAGAAAGTTCAAACTATTGCAGAACCTCTTCCTTTTACAAATCTAGCGATGATGTCTGATGAACACATATGGTCTCCAGACTTCTTCAATACTGTACTTCGATCACTTTTTTTATACATATTGCAAAGATATGACAAAAGATCAGATTTACATAATAAAACTGGATTCGCTTAGTGCACCGTTGGTTGGTCACATACACAAACTTTTCCCTGAAATTCCACACATATTTCAATTTCGTGAAAATGTGGAAAAGGCAACGATTTCTTCATATAAAATGATGGATGCGGCAATCTTTTGGAAAGAAGCTGTTTACTTACAATCAAATTTTCCTAAATTAGGAAAATGGCTTTTTGGATATGAACTAGAGAAAAGTACTGTTGAAAAAGTTAAACCAGAAAGTTTATTGGAACGAGCTTTTATTATTTTCGCTGCGCCTACGCCTGTTTTCTGAAAAATAGGCATTGTTATGCTCTTCCAGAAGTAACATATGAAAATTTAATATCAAAACCAGAAGAAACTATTAGCGCAGTTTTTGATGTTTGTGGCATTTCAAAATCACTAATTCCAGAAGCAGTGACTGCATTGAATAGAGATTCTCAAGCTGGAACTGTTTTAAGCAGAGATAAAATGGCACAAGTTAAAAGCCCTGAACTTAGCAAGTTTCATCGAAAAAGACTAAATGAAATAGCAAAAAGAATGGAATTACCTGAATCTGTATTCCATTTTTAAGAAACTTGAACTTGCCAGTTGCAGTATTTATGATTTTAATTAATTTTGTGTTTTTTTCTGAATGTGTAAAATGTCATTTTGATTATAACGGGTATGCCAGAATAAATGTCTTTCTACGTGTTTCTTCAATATCTCAGTCAAAAATCATTGCAGCAACCTAATTTTTTTTTGAAAATGCAGAATTTAATTTTCTACAAAAGTGATCTTTATTTACTAATGTAAATAGTTTCCATCATTTTTAAAAACTGTCAACAAACAGCTAGTCCAAGAATTATAACTTTCAAAAACAACTTCGAGCCTTATTTTTTCGTAGTCCGTTTTAATTCTTCAATAAAACTTTTTTCCATGTTATTTGGTCCCAGTTAATATTCCCAGCAAGTTCATCCCAAATACAATAGTTCAGAGGATTTAAATCTGAACTATTCGAAGGCTACTGATGTTGATCCAGAAATGCTGGAAAATGGCTGACGGTGAAAATGAGAGTGAGTTTGAAGGTGAAGATGAGTTTACAGAGGAGAGATAATTCAAGCAGTCATACGACATGTTTTGATCCTTGCTAAGAATCATCAGACATGTTTAGAATCACAATTACGTTAATTAGTATCGAAATTTTAAAAGAAGGCAGGTGGAAACAAGCTTATAACTTTAGGACGAAAAGTCATTGCGGGTGTGGGGTGTAGATGTTGTTCTTTCAGTCACATCCTCACACCCTCCTTTTCTCTCAAAACTAAATTCACCTGTCTTGACAATGATAGTAGATATATCGAAACGTCGACAGTATATTATGATTATGTATAAATAAATAAATTTAAGCTGCTGTAAAATTAGTCTTTCATTTAATGGAATTATGCCCATTACAAAACATAACTACATCACACTTGACGCTACACACAACCAAAATCTCAATGACATCAATGATACGAAAAGAGCACATAATCTAAAATAGAACCGTCATTTTCGTACAATAAAGTCTCCGATAAAAAAATCACTGTATCCATTTTTCTTTAAGTCCTTTTGACTTCTACTTAGAAGCGAAGAAATGGTTGAAGGATTTCTGCTAATGAATAATCCGTTTTCTTTGGAGAAAACTCATTTCTGCCAGAAACTTCTCTTAAGATGAAAAAGTAAAATGATCAATTTCTCTGTAAGTCTTTTAGACTTCTGCTTATGACTGGAGATATCGACGAAGAATTTTTCTATCGTATAGATTTTGTTTCTTTGTAGTGTGGTGGTCTTATGAAGGTATTGTGTTAGAAAGTGTTTTTCGCTTTGACTTTGTATGAATAAAATAAAGAGATGAAAAAGAACGACGAAAAAAAGAAAAACAATAACGTCACCCTTCTTTTTTGACTCGTACCAAAAATAACTGTCCTCTCTACGATAGTAAAAGAAAAGAAAGCAACAAAAGTAAAGATTGTACCTGGTGGTCTGTCTTTTTCTTAATCTGACTGATGCAAGATATCGAAAGAATATTTATCTAAATATTTCCATACTTCTTTTCTCAACTTCTTCAAAAAAAAAGCAGAGTAAGAAGGTGATTATGATTATATTTTAGAAGAGTGAGAATAATAATTCACGAGTAATATAGCAAACTTCAAGATCAGATCAAATGGCTACCGATCTTGAATGTCAGACGTCGATAACAACTCCTGAAATCGATGAACGTCTTTATTCACGACAACTGTATATAAACTATTTTTTAAATATGAGAAATAAGAAATAAATATTGTTTATTCTTTTATTAGTTAGACAAATATTTTGTGATTTTGGTCAAAACTTCAAAGTACTCGATACAAATGGTGAAGATTCAATAACAGAAGAAATAGTCGATTCAATCAGTCACGTATGGACTGTTTCGGAGTAATGGAAAAAGTTTGTTTATTTAGGTTTGTTTTTCAGGATGAAATTGGTATTGTATCAATAGCGACATATACAAAACATGGTTTCGAAGATGGATCATACGTTACTGTTCATGATGTGAAAGGAATAACTGAAATTAATGATCGTGAATTCAAAATCACTGTACTAGGTTTGTGTTCTTTTTTTCATTAGTTATTTTGTCTAGGTAGGGAAAGATTATGTTTAGATCCATATACATTTACTATCGGTGACACAAGAAATGTTGGTGTTTATAAAGGTAGTGGAACAGTCACTGAAGTCAAAAAAGCAGAAACTGTGCATTTCGTAAGTCGATTCTTTTCTTCTTTCTCTTCGTTGATCATCAGGTTTTGAATTATTTTCTTCAATTTAGAAATCTTTTTTCTGATTCATTGAAAAATCCAGAAATATTAATTTGTAATTTTTCAAAGATGTCAATGTCTGCTAAGCTTCATTTATCATTTCAAGGTTTATCACTTTTTCAAAACCAATATAATGCATTGCCTCAACCATGGAATGATGTATATCATATTCATTTATTCTTTTATTTATTTCTTATTTAGGATGATGCAGATAAATTCTATGAAATAGTTGAGAAATTAAATAGAGAAAATGGTGAACAGGTATTAACAGATCAACTAAATAAACATTGGATAAGACTATTTGCTAAAACATGTACTGGTGATTTATGTCCAATTCAATCTGTTATTGGTGGTATTGCTGCTCAAGAAGCAATCAAAGTAAGAAGAATTTCATTCATTCATTCATGTTTTGTTTTGTTTTTGTCAGGCAGTGACAGGAAAGTTCTCAGAAAGTTGAGTTTCATCAGCTACTTTCTTATCATCTCTTTATCTTTATCCAGAATTCTTTCACTTCTACAAAATTCATGATGTATGAATGACAAGTGATATTGATTCTAGTTTTAATCCGACTTTTTTTTTTGAAAACTTGAAACTCTTTGTTTTGAGGTCAATATGTTGATCGTCATTGTGTCTATTGTCGACAACCATTGGTAGATAGTGGTATATTTAGTACAAAAGCAAGTATTCAAGTTGTTGTACCATTTCTTACTGAATCATATTCATCTACCAACGATCCATCCGATTCAACAGTAGACCTGAGTACTGCAATAAATTTTCCAATTTCTATTAACCATATTATTCAATGGGTACTCTATACTTTTTCTGGTCTATTTACAATTCCTGGTCAACAAAGTGAAGAATTTATGCGGGATCCCAAAGATTTCGCTGAACGAACAGCTAAAAAGCCCTCTGAAGATGAAAAAAATGAAATTGTTGAAAATGTTAAACATATTCTTATTGAACATCGTCCAAGAAATTTCACCGATTGTATCAAATGGATAAGTTTATATCGTTTACAATAGAAATGAATGTTTATCTTTTTTTGTTCATTTAGTCTCGAAATCTCTTCGAACAACAATTTCATAATGCAATTGCTCAGTTACTTCATAATTTCCCACGTGATCATGTGACATATAGAGGTGAACTTTTTTGGAGTGGATATAGACGATGTCCACATATATTGAAATTTGATGTTAACAATAAACTTCATTTGGATTTCATTATTGCTGCATCCAATTTATTTGCACATATGTATAATATCCCACAAATATGTGATCGTCAATTTATTGCACAAGAAGTAACAAAAGTACAAGTGCCTGAATTTAAACCAAAAGATATTTCCACAGCAGATAACGATAGTAACCAATGGAGATTTGATGATCAGCAACGAATGAATGTTCAAAAGGAAAACAATTCATCCGTTGAACAACTTCTTAATCGATTGCCTAAACTTGATGAAATAGTTGACATTAACATTCAACCATATGAATTAAAAACAGACGATGATACGAATTTTCATATGGATTATATAGGAGCAACAACTCTTTTACGAGCTGAAAACTATCAGATACAAATAGTTGATCGAAGTCAAATTAAAAGAATTGCTGAAAATATAATTCCAGCTATTGTAACAACAACAGCAATGGTTACAGGTCTTGTTTGTCTTGAAGTTTATAAATTAATTCAAGGTCATAAGAAGATTGAATCATATCGAAATGCATGCCTTAATTTGGCTTTACCATTGTTTGCATTTTTTGAACCGGTACCACCAAAATGTCAAAAGGTATAGAATATTAGACAATCACTTTTGAATAACTATCAATTCTTCTCATTTAATTGTAGTATTTAGACAAAGAATTCACTTTATGGAATCGGTTTGAAGTGAAAGGTAATACGACATTGGAAGAATTCATAGAATACTTTAAGGTAAAGAAAAATCAATCCGATTTAGGATTAATTTTTGTTTAACTTTGAATTGTGAAATATAGTGTGAGCATAAACTAGTACCAAATATAATTTCAGAAGGATCGTTTATGATTTATAGTGCACATTTTATGCATCAAACGAGTAAAATACAAAATATGAAACGAAAGTATGTATTTACTTGGATTGTGGATTGATAAAAACAAATTAATCTCTTTTCGTTTTGTAAGAATTTCTCATATATATGAAACGGTGAGCAAAAGAAGAATACCACCACACGTTCGATCTCTTATATTAGATATGTTCTGTGATGACCTTGAAGGAAATGAAGTGTGGGTGTGGGTGTGGGTGTGGGTGTGGGTGTGGGTGTGGATATGAACGTGAGAGAAGACACCCACCCACACACCTACCCACACCCACCCCACCCCACCCACACCCTTACAAAATCCATGTCTTCGTTCAATACGTATATAAATATGCGAGCTATGATGCACGGAAAACGAAAATACACAATCACACTGGTATTAAAAATGACTCTTCGAGACCATATGTTTATTCATTCTGAAGTATTGAGAAAGCGATATCAGCAATCAACGTAACTGATTATACTCTCTTTTTTAGAACCACTCACACCCATGACGGAAATATTTAATCTTTGGAAAAGAAATCCATGACTTCAGTGTAGAAATTGATCCTTTTTTCTGGATGCATCGGGTTTGATTTAGATAATTTGTCATGAAGTCAGAATTATCATAAGGTCATATTCAGATCATAGGGCTGCAGGTGTGCATTTTCTCTTTAACACAATCCGTACTCGCACACCTACTCTGGTTACAGATTTTTATCGATAGGCTCTTTATTATAAAAAATACACGACATTCATTTATCACGAAAACAAAATAATAATTCACAACTAATCGATTTGAGAGTAACAAATATCTTTATTTAGAAATGAAAATAAAATATTTTCATTTGATTTACTATGCAATAATACATGAAAACAGCATTTGTTCCACCAACAAAATAAATATGTTGCTTTTTATTCTCAGCAGTCAATTGAGCAATGATTGGCATTCCATCTGGAGTCATTGGACGAATACAAAATCTTGGTAGAAGAATTTCTGGTTCACTTGCCTCGATTTCATCAGGTAAATAACATCGTATCGTTGCATAAAATAAATCAATTAATTGGGTAAGATAAGTTGATTGAACAATTCCACGATGGCCACAAAAACCATATGCACCTGTTACATATAAATGTTGTTCATCATAGCTTGGTGTCACATTTATAACACCGATTGGTTCTTTTTCGGCTATTTTAAATCCATTTTTTATTGAATGAATATTCGAAAGCTTTGTCCAACATCCGAAAACACCTTGAATAGCTAATAATACATTATCTAATAATGAAGAATTCAAATTATTAAGACTTGAAGCCAAAATTATTTTAGAAGAAGATATATCATCCATTGAACAAACTTTGGTTGACCATTTAAATTTAACATTTGGATTATTTTCTAGAAACTCAATCATATTTTGACAAAGTTGTAAATGATTAATAGTAAAACCAGGTACTTCAATTCCACCAGCATCACCATCTTGAAGTACAAGACCAGATATTTTTTCAAGAATTTGTGAATGTGATAACATTTGAAGATTATCTTCATTTTTATGATATTTTTTTTGAAATGTTGAAACAACATTTAACGAAGTTAATGATGAACATACACGAATAATTCGATGATTTTTAATTGTATCTTCAACTAATTGTGGATAAATTTGAAATATTTTTTCCCATAATTCGATTCCACGTCTATTTATATTTGATACAAATTTATGAAATAAATTCACAACTAATTCTGGATAACCAGCAAGTTCACTAAATCTATCAATCCATAATCGTTCTTGATTATTATATTGATCAGGTATTATTTTCCATCCTCCATGATCTAATGGATATTTTCTTAAACTATTAATTCTATTAAATACTGCTTGCGGCATTGTTTCTGTTATAGATGCATGTCGCGCATCACATCCATCAAGTGTTGTACCACGACAAGATATTTCATTTTGATTAGATTCATCTTTTGGATTAGGATGGTTATGTTCATCAATAATAGTGACTCTATAACCGCTTCCACTAAGAAAGAAAGCAGTTGCTAAACCCATAATACCTGCTCCGATGATAGTAATTTCTTCATTTTTTCTAGATGAATCAATTAAAAATGGTAATGGTGATTTAAATGATTGTTCAAGTACAACATTGGCAAGAACAACAAGAGCAGCTTGATCCATAGCTTCACCACATCCAGGTACAGTCAGAGCAGCTGATACAGCTTCTAATTGTGTTGGAAGATCTTTAATTGTACTTAAATCAAATGCATGTGAATCTAAACGAGCACTAATTTGTCCTTGTCGAACACGTTCAATAAGCATATCAAGAGCTCCTGGAGCAAATACACAAAATGCAGTAACAGATACAAGTCTTGCTCCATTTGGTATGATTTGAAAAAATTCTTTAGATAATTGTTCTTCAATATTTGTAACTCTATCAGCATCAATAGCAAGTATAACATATGTAGCATTGATAACAGCTTGTTCAGGTGTCATAGCAATATTGATATCAGGAAAATCAATACCTTTACGTTTTCGAATTTTTGACTGAATAGTTTGATCAGGATTTGTTAATGATGGACTATAAACAATAACTTTATGTTTAGCTCTATATAAACGATAAGCAATTCGCCTTCCAATAGCACCTGATCCAATAATTCCAATGGTTGAACATGTTCCATCATTTGGCAAATGAAGATGTTCAATTATATATTCAGCAACAAATCGAGAATTTACACTTAATGTATTTAATACATTTATATTTAGTTGTCGAGCACGATCAATATGAATACGAGAAAGTGCTGAACCTCTTCGAATTAATGTTAATTGAATATCATAACTCATAATTGAACACCATAGTTCAAGTGTTTCACTTCCAACAGAATTACTTCCAACAATAATAACATGAGGACGATGTTGACGAATAGCAAAACGAAGACTTTGTTCATTTTGAACTAATTCTGGTAAATAAATTAATTGATTACGATTACGAATTTCACTTTTAAATGGATAAGCAATCAATACTTGCATGTTTTCAAGTTTATCGTTTTTTCTTTCCAAATATCATTTATTTTTCTTGAAGAGAATACTAAAAAAAAAAGAAAAAAAGAACGACGGCAACGACATTAGAGTCAATCTAATTTTATATATAATCATGATTCATTCACGAAGGACTAGTTATCTTTTTTTTCGTTAACGCACGAAAATAAATAATTTTTATTTGCGATCGTATTACTTTCATTTATATTTCGACTATGATAAAGTACTTTTTTTTATTGAGAGAGAAAGATAAATATATAAAATAAAAATTACGTATACTCACTGTATGGACATCAATATGGAATGAAAAAATAACGTCGCTTCTTCTTTCTTACAACGAGAGTGTAGGTGTGGGTCTGGATCTGTGCATGAAAGAAAAGATGATCCACCCCCACCCCCACACCCAATGATTGAAGTTTCAAAATCCTATGGGAATAATCAAAATTATCGATCCGATTATTCTGCAACAAAATCAAAATTAAAATTATTTGAAAACTTCTGATTTTAATCGATAATGAAACTTCATCTCGATCAATTTGAATTCTAATTTAATTGTACATTATTTAGATTATAAATTTGATTAAAATCTATAAAAGTCATGTGTGTACTGATTTTGATTAATAAAAAAGCTTGGATTAAGCTAGATATAATTTCGATTTTGTAGCATGGCACAGTGATTGCTAACATCAGTAGGAAACCATTCCAAATAATAAAACGCTTTTAGTGTGAGACTTTTGCTATCAGATAAAATTTATCGAGATTAAACAAAGTCTAAAGTGAATCATATTCTAGGAACTTTCTTCTCAAGGTGCATCTAATTTCTTTAAATTTTGATCGATACCAAAATGTATCACAAAAACTTGAATTTCGGAATTAAAATACGCAATTTTCCTGACTAGGTTTTGAATGTTGCTACAATCTGTAGAGTCTTTGTCAAAATGTATGTTTGAGCCTCGATCTATAACATTCGAAAAAAGATAGTATTTCCGAGTTCTAACTAAAACACATATGATTTGAAAAGACACTTATATATCGAGGCTAAAATATTTATTTTAACTTAGACTCTCGGCCGACTTTAGCAATATCAAAACTTAAGTGGGCTAAATTTCAAATTCAAATTCGAGTTTTGATGACCCATTTTGATATCGATCAAAGTTTAATGAAATTAGACATACTTCGAGAAGAAATTTCTATGGAAATGGTCCATTATATACTTTGTCTAGTCTCGATAGGCTCTATCTAATAGCAAAGGTCTTACAATAAAGACCTTTTTTATCACTTGACGTGACTCCATTTAAATGCATAATCAGATCTTCCAAATAAATAAACCTATTCTCCTAAGATCTAGAAAGTAGGAAGAGGGAGAACGTTTCTCCTCATATGGATTCAGTAGCTTCACATCCCGAGAAAGTACTTCTCTTCTATTTTGCTATTGAAAAACGTAAACGTTTTAGAAGCAAGAGAACCTTGTGCCCCTGTCGTCTCTATTCATAGTTACACTCCCAGGTCTCTCGTAAGTTCCATTAATCTTACTCCATTTATAACGTAATCGTAATAATAATAGTATAGTGTATTATTGGAGGTACAGATATGGTTAAGTGCCTGTCTTTTCCGGCTATCTAGAAAGATCAACATTGGTTTCTGTACTCCAAAAAATTAAACAAAAAAAAAATTAGTGATCGCTAATGTCATAATTTGAATGCCAAAAAATAC